TCTTTCCCTCTGTCATCGCAGACTGGAATTGCTGCTACAAATTGCTAACAAAATCCAGAATGGTGCTCTGAGCTGTGAAGAAAAACTCACTCTCGCGAAGAACACGCTGCAAGCTGTGAGTGGGGGGTGTTGTTTTCCCCCTCCTAATTTAGTTAGTTAGTTAGTTAGTTAGTTTTCCTGCCTCTTCTTTTATGCCCATCTATTCTGCAGGGTGTGGTGGGTTCCCCGAACAGCTTTCCTTCCTCTTCTGACGTTGAGCCTTCCCCAGACGGGCTATGGGGGCGGTGGTGGATACCTGTTGATCTATGGCATGAGGACCTTGGGGACAGGGGGGCAGGGGAACAGCCTTGTTGTGCAGCAGGCTGCCTCTGGGGATGCAGTTAGTGAGGTTGGACGTCTGCAGAGGTGCTGGCTTGGAGAACAACTGCAGTTCTGGGAAAGCTTGTTGTATAAATGAGGCTTAAAACCCCCAAAATCTGTTTTATTTGTCTAAAAGACTGGCAAAAAGGACTCAGTTGCAGACTGTAGCTACCTGGGTAGGGAACAGATTTTGAGACGGGGAGTTTTGTTCCGGGAAAAAGAGATGTAAGGGTTGGGAGCTAAAAATGGTTAAACCCAAGCAAGAAATGAGATGCACATTCAAGTGATTATCCTTGGGACTAACTGCAGGAGCCCGTCTGTCACTGGAAGCTTTCAGTTCGTCTGCAGGAGCATTTCTAAAGGGGATGTCCTGGGTGTGGTGTGAGGGGTGAATTCATGGTCTTCTGCTCAAGTCAAACTTGTGGATCAAAAGATCTTTTCCATCTTAAAGTTGACGCTGGGCTGCTATCGTGTTCTCTCTGCCCACGTGCCTGGGCTGAGGGGACCCAGCCCTCAGTCTCCTCTCTCTCGGTGCAGGATGCTGCTCACCTGGAGTCGGGCCAGCCGGTGCAGTACGAATCCGACGTGGTCGTGTATCTGCAGGAGTGTGAGGGGCTCATCCGCCAGCTACAGGTGGATGTACAGATCCTTCGGGATGAGAATTACTACCAGCTGGAGGAGCTGGTGTTCAGGTGAGAGGGGCCATGCCTGACATGACCTGTGGATGGAGAAATGCGGTCAGAGGGCGATGCACGGGGCTCCTCTGCTCTGTTGTGGGGAAGAAGGGAGTGTGCGTGCATCTTCTCACCCGTGCCTGGCTTGCTCCTCCAGGATCATGCGGCTGCAAGATGAGCTGGTGACGCTGAGGCTGGAATGCACTAACCTGTACAGGAAAGGCCACTTCTCCACCCTGGAGCTGGTGCCCCCTTCCACGCTGAGCACAACGCACTTGAAGGGCGAGTCCCTGACCAAAGGGCTGCACACCTCCTCTGCCTCCTGGTTCCGCAAGCCCATGACCAGGACAGAGCTGGTGGCCATCTCCTCTTCTGAAGATGAAGGCAGTCTCCGGTTTGTGTATGAGCTGCTGGCCTGGGTGGAGGAAATGCAGGTGAGTGCTGGCTCTCTGGGCCAAATTCTGTGGCCTGCCTCTGCTCACACTGGTGTGGGAAGGTAGGAAGCTGGTCTGGGCTTTTTCCTGCCTTTACCTGTGAATAATTGCTTTGATGATTCAAAGTTTCTGGAGAACACCACACTTTTGTCTTGAGTTGGGTTTTCTCTCTTGTGATCCTGCTGGTGAGTGGTCATCAGAAGATCCTTTCAAAGCTGGAAGCAAATCCGTGATGATGCAGTCGGTCCTTTGGTCTTATGTGGGTGTGAAGGTTGTGTAGGCTGTCCCAGATATCATTCAGTGCTGGAGCACTGGCTTAGGACCTTCTACCAGGACTGGTGTGGTGTTTGTTTTCTCTTGAGTGACCCAGGAGGTTTCCTTGCCCTCGTGTCCTTTTGAGATAAGCTCCTGCAGATGAGGTTTGTTGAGTTGGACCCCTTGGCCTGTTTCAGATGAGACTGGAGCGGGCAGAGTGGGGGACCGACTTGCCGAGTGTGGAAACCCAGCTGGAGACTCAGCGGCACGTCCACACCAGCGTGGAGGACCTGGGCTCCAGCGTAAAGGAGGCCAGGATGTACGAGGTATGGTGGCACGGGCTGGGTGACACAGTGCCGTGGCACGATGTGTGTGAGAAGGTGAGGGCGTTGGGATTGGCTTTTGTGGGTAAAGGTGTCTGGGGCAGAGGTGTTTTTTAAGGACAGAGCTTCTGAATTGATGCTGGGCTGGTGCAAGAGGCTGCTGCCCTGAGCTGTCCTCTGTGCCTCCTCTTGCTCCCACAAAGCTGGGGAGCAAGGTTCGGCGATGTGCTTTCGAGTGATGCTGTTCTGTGTGGGGTAACTGGAGCATTTTTCATCCTTCAGGGTAAAATGTCTCAGAATTTCCGCGCTAGCTACACGGAGACGCTCGGCAAGCTGGAGACGCAGTACTGCAAGCTGATGGTGAGTGGGCTTTGAGTGGGCTTCTAGCACTGCCCAGGGGGTGTAGGGTCCATCTCTGCTTTGCTACTGGGGAAGGGGGGAAAAAACCACTTGCCTTCAGAGCAGGGAAGAGGAATCACACTTCGCTCTGTTCAGGAAACCTCGAGCTTCCGGCTGAGACACCTCCAGAGCTTGCATGGATTTGTGTCTCGGGCCACTGCTGAGCTGATTTGGCTGAATGAGAAGGAGGAGGAGGAACTGGCCTACGACTGGAGCGACAGCAACCCTAACATTGCAGCCAAGAAAAACTACTTCTCGGTGAGTGACCCCAGGGCAGGGCTGGTGGGATGGGTGCTCTCTTGGTGGTGCTGCTGCTGCTTTTGATCTGCTGTGGGACCTTCAGACTTGAAGTCCCCAGAGGTTGGATGCTCCCTTCCAAGTCACTGAGCTCTGAGCTTGTAGCTCGTGATTGCAGCTGATGAAAGAGCTCTCCCTAGACAAGAAAGTGCAAAAAAAAGTGTGTTCAATTGAGTTTCAATTGAAAAGGCGTCTTTTTAGCACTATTTGGAACTAAAGGCATCTTTAACTAGTGGGGGGGCGGGCGGGAAGTCTGAGCGAAAGAGGAAAATTGGTTCCTCTTTAAAGCAGTATAATAAATTGCTGTCTTTCCACAATTGCACTGTCTGGAACTGAAGAGGTCCCCAGGCAGATTTCCAGTATCTGTGTTACATCTGCTCTGAGTGTTTGGTGCACAGGAGGCATCCTGATGGGAACTGGCTGTGGTGCTCCCGTAAGCCGTGCTGGTTTCCCTGAGATCCACTGGTATTTACTGCAGCGCTCCTGCGCTCCGTGTTGTGTTAGTTGTGCACGTGGTCTGCGTGAGGCTGCTCCCCGTAGCCGGGATTTGGACTTTGCTTGTGTCCTTCGTTCAGGAGCTGACGACGGAACTGGAAGAGAAGCAGGACATCTTCCGCTCCCTCCAAGACACGGCCGAGCTCCTGTCCCTGGAGAACCACCCGGCCAAGCAAACTGTAGAGGTGAGCAGGCACATGGGGGAGCCGGGAGGAGCCCTGAGAAAGAGCTGGCAGCAAATCTTCTCGCCCGGGATTGGGAAACTTGCTCTCCCACCCCACAGTACCCTTATGGGCAGCCAGGGCTGTGATAATGTTTTATGGTGGCAGAAAAACTTCAGTGCAGCGATAGAGCTGTTTTATTTTGGGGAGTGCGATGGGAAGTTTGAGGCTGTTCCCAAATAATGCCCACCTCAAAAGTAAGGGACGGATATGCTTGCACAGAGCATGAGCCTTTCCTGCAGTGCAGTGGTGCAGGGAATGGCCTTAGCTCCCTTGGAGTTATCCAGGCTTGCAGGAAAACTGGGGTGGTAAAGCAAAGGGCTGCAGGGACATGTTTCTCCTTGGTGTTTCTGAGGTGGGAGAAAGCAAACCTGTGCCTGCTGCAGCCCCCGGCATCGCTGGTCCAGGGTCTGCTGTCTCCTGCTCTTTGTGCCCGTGTCCAAACCCTTCTGGTTGCAGCCAGATCTTGCCTTTTTATGTACATCCCGCTGGCTGTAGCTGTGCCCTTCCTGTGACCCTCCTGGCTGGTAAATGCTCATTATTCATCGCAGTTTGGGGTGTGTGTGTGTTTCTCAGGCCTACAGTGCTGCTGTACAGACTCAGTGGCAGTGGATTAAGCAGCTCTGCCTGTGCGTGGAACAGCACGTGAAGGAGAACGCTGCCTATTTCCAGGTACTTGGGAGGGGCAGTCAAAATTTCCCTGGTCATCCCGCTGCTTGAGCTTCGTAAGCTGCTGCTTCCTTCAGGGGAAGAGGGAAGGGAGGGATTTGTGGTGCTCATGGGGGCTGCTTTCTCCTGAATCATCTCTTTCTCCTTAGCTATTCTCTGGGGATGACTCACTAGGGCAGAAGGGATCAACTTCCACGTAGTTCTAGCCATCCACGTGGGATGCTCGCTGCTACTTGAGATGTTGGGGTGGTCCCTTGCCTGCAGCGTGCTGCTGACTGCTCGGTGAACTTGGGCAGGTTTCTGTGACCCTCTTTGCCTTTGCAGTTCTTCAGTGACGCCCGGGAGTCAGAGACCTACCTGCGCAACCTGCAGGACTCCATCAAAAGGAAGTATTCTTGTGACCATAACACGAGCCTGACGCGGCTGGAGGACCTGCTGCAGGACTCCATGGTGGGTTCTCCGACACCCCCGCCACCCTGGGCGGGCGATGGGTGGCCTTCTTGCTCTGGTCCAGCAGCATTTCTTGGGGCACCTCTTGCTTCCCAGGGAAAACTGGGCTTATTTTATTCCTGCAATGACGCAGTTTCATGTAGTGTGGTTTGCTCCCCCATCTCTGCCAATGTTCTGCTTTTCGTTGGAGCTGCTGCATGTGTTTGTGCGTGGTGGCCGTGGGGTGCAGGCTGTGTGTGACCCCAGCTGTCACACTCTGATGGCAGCCAGATCTCGGTCGTTAGAGCAGCCGATGGGTCACTTTTGATTAAAGGCACCATCCAGCATTTTTCTGTATCCTCGGGGTGAAGAGCAGGTGGTGTGTGCTGTCTGTGCAAACCCACAGCTTGATGTGTGAGCTGGTCCTTCCCCATCGGTGCCCGTCCTGCCATCCTGGTCTGCCTGGAGCCGGTCGTGTTCTGCTGACAGGGGTGTCGCGCAGAGCCCGCAGGATGCTCCTGTTTTCTGCTTTTGAGCTGGAGCTCGCTAGGAGTGTGGTGGGATGCGGAGAAATGCCCGCTCTTTATCCAGACCAAATCCCGTGTTAATCCATTGCACTGTGGTGGTGGGGGGAGAGCCAGGGCAGCCTGGCCGTGTGTGGGGAGGGGGGCTCGGCAGCGCTGATCTCCGAACACATGGCCTGGCTTAGCTGTGGCGTGGCAGAGAGCAGATGACGGGCAATTCTGTGATCTTCTTGTCTGAATTGGCCTGAAAAAAAAACAATCTAAAAACAAAACACAAGGAGCAAAGCATCAGACAGTGTTTGAAACCAGGGACGGGGGAGGATTTGGGCTGTGGGTTAACCGAAGTGCCAGGAGGTGACGTTTGTGAGAGTGTGGAGGCAGGTGGCTGCTTTGGCTTTGCTCTTAGTGCACACCATTGATCTCCAGCGTGTCCCCAGTGAAGCCGAGATGCCGTTACTGGGTGTTCATGATGGGTGCATCAGCTGGGCTAGGGCTCACGGTCTTCTCTCCTGGAGGCCTGGGGGCTCTCATCCTATCTCTGTCATGGTCTCGGGGTTGTCCTGGTCTCTCCTCCAGCACTACCAGGACACAGAGCAGCCAGCCTGGCTCCTGGGGTCCCTATTGGTGAGCCCTGCAACACCAGGAGTGTGGCAGGCACCATCTGGGGTGGGAGAGGCTTGTCTGGGCAGATGGAGAGTGGCCATGATCTCAGGACTGGGGCAGCTGCCCTGAGCTCAGCTATATTACTCTTTCTTACCTAATAAGTTAAAGTTGTATTTCTTCCAATCATGCTCCCTGGGACAGGCACAGGTAGTTTATTTAATCATTTATTCTTTTCTTTTTCTTTTTTTTTCTTTTTTTTTTTGTTTTGTTTTTTACCATTAAATTATCCTCCACTGTTGTTAGCACACTAACCAACCCCGAGAGTACCAAGCATGAGGGAGAACATTTTTCTGGGATCCTTTTTAAACTTTTCCAGCCAGAATGGGCTGAGCTGCCACTAATCAACGAGCTGCTGGTGTCGTGATCCGCCCACGTCTCCATCGGTGCCAGAGGCTGTTCCAGCTTTGCCACCAGTCCCCCGGGTTGTCCCATCATCAAACCCAGCAGGGACTTGTGGGAATCAATTACGTAGCACCTTCCTCCAACTGGCACATTTCTAACCAGAAAGACCTGTGTGATCACTCCACCACTAGCCCCTTCTCCTGAGATGTTTTATCCACATAATTCATCGTATCCCCATTCCAGCCATTGGTTTAAACATGCCTTCATCCTTTGCTTTAGAAAAGGGAGCATGCTTCTGTGGTCTCTCCTCCAGACAACAAAACATCCCCAGCTTTGGGCTGGAGCTTGTTCTGCTCTTGACCCATTACACCTCGTGGGACTTTAATTGTGGTGTATGCTGTGTTCTCTTTTTTTTTTTTTTCCCCTTTTGAAAGAAAATATTTTCTTGTCCTAGCAGCAGAAGAGCCAGAGGCATGCATGCAGCTTTGCAGGGTAGTGGGAGTAGTAGTAGAGAGGTCCCACCCTGACTTGAAGTCTGTTCTCCCTTCCATCCCATCTCCTGACCCTTCTTCCCATCCCGTTAGGGCAACAGGATCCTCCTGATGTGTTTGTTCAGCCCTTGAGATCCCAGCGCAGGTCTTGCAGGCCAGTGTTGGGGTGGGGGGTGCTGAGATGCCTGGGAGAGACCTCCTTTCCCCTGCCTTGAGCAACCTGTCCTTCATCCTTTTTCTGCCAGGATGAGAAGGAGCAGCTCATTCAGTCAAAGAGCTCCGTCGCCAGCCTGGTGGGACGGTCCAAAACCATCGTTCAGCTCCGGCCCAGGAACCCGGAGCACCTTGTGAAGGGCACGATCCCCATCAAGGCTGTTTGTGACTATCGGCAGATCGAGGTGAGGGCTGGAAGGGTGTCGGCATACCTGGGTAAGAGGAGGCAGGGATGAGGCAGGGGAGCAACACCCATGATGGTTTAGGATGAGCTCCATGGTGTCTGTCAATGGAAAGCAAGAACGGAGTGGGAAGACAGAAGGAGGGAAATAGCACGGCTGTTTTTCCTAGAGCAGATTTCCATGTCTCACATTTATTCTGGGCAGGAGCTAAACTCCTTTTCCCCAAAGAGGATGGGCTTCATCAGCCTCAGCCAAATAAGCATGTGGGTGGTAGCCAACTCTGTTGAACTTCCGTGTCCCTTCCTCTCCAGACATGAGCATGTTGCATTGCTTGGCACTGTACCAGGCTTCTGCTTGATTAAAATATATATATTTATGGAAGCTGGCTTGCCCTCAGGAGGGAAGCTGGCAGCAAGGGCAGGCGTGCACAGCGCCACTGCTGGTGTCTGATGGGCTGGGTGGTGTTGGTGCCGCCGCAGATCACCATCTGCAGGAACGACGAGTGTGTGCTGGAGGACAATTCCCAGAGGACCAAGTGGAAGGTGATCAGCCCCACGGGGAACGAGGCCATGGTGCCCTCTGTCTGCTTCCTGATCCCCCCACCCAACAAAGAGGCCATCGAGATGGCCAACAGGTAACTTGGTGGGCTCTGCTGCAGGGGAGTCCCAGAGGTGCAATGGCAAGGAGATGGGGAGGGTGTTGGTGGCATGGGAGGGGACAGATCTGGAGTGGGAATGGGAGAGGAGCAGGAGTGGGTGGCACAGCTGATTTGGGGTGAGGGAAGGAATGCCTCACAGTTATACAGCTGCACACACCATCGCAGCAACTGCTCTAGTAGCTTGCAAAAGAGAAAACGATGATTTGGGAGGAGGGATCCCTCCAGGGATCTCTGGCACTGAACAGCAGGAGCATCACCTGCTGCAGGCTGCGAGGCTGGGAGCGCTGGCTTGGTGGGCTGCTGGCTGGCAGCGATGGCTGGTGGTTTAACAGGGTCAGGGCTGAGCGTGCTGGGGAGATCCGGGGCTGATGGACCTGCTCCTTCCCCTTGCAGGGTAGAACAGTTGTACCAGAAAGTGATGGCTCTCTGGCACCAGCTCCACATGAACACAAAGAGCCTCATCTCCTGGAACTACCTGCGGAAGGACATAGCCCTGGTGCAAAGCTTCAGCATGGAAAAGGTACGGTAGGAACTTTTTTGCCCAGTTCTGGGGCTGTGTTGCTCACTGTCCTGGCTTCTTCAAGTGGCTGAGGAGGAAGGGAAGACCAGAGACTGCAGGGTTGAGGAAGTCAAGGTTATTTGCACCTTGAACAGTGGGAAAACCTGAGCTTGGGGCTTCTGTGCAAAATGATTGCAGTTTTTCCCAAGAAAAAGAGCATCAGCAGTTTGCTGCTGAACTGTAATAAGCACAAGAGATTGTGGACTTCACGTTTCGTTAGGGAGCGAGCAAGGCTAGGGGGAGGCATGAGGCTGATGCGAAGGAGCTTGCGTTTTCTCCTCTAAAGAGAAAATACTCACTTGGCAAGCGAAGGTGATTAAGCTGGGGCAGGGTGGCTTCAGGTGATGTGTAGGAAGTTGTTCCCGGTGGTTAGATGTGCGGCTTTTCCACTCGCAGCTCAGATCCTTAGCGCAAGGGGAGTGCCAGCAAGCCATGAAGAGCCTCCAGGCGCACTATGAGGACTTCCTGCAGGACAGCCGGGACTCGGAGCTCTTCTCGGTGTCAGACCGGCTGCGCCTGGAGGAGGAAGTGGAATCTTCCAAGGAACACATCCGGCAGCTGCTGGAGTCCATGGAGAACGGTGAGCTTCAAAGGGCTAATGGATTAACCAGGAGCTGTAGGGACTCATAAACAAAGGATTTATGGGATGGCTTCATTTTCATTTTTTTCTGAGCTAGCTAGTTGATGGTGTGAGCAGCTGCTCTCCTTATTTCTCCATCCATTCAAGTGTTCGGCCTTTCTCCAGCGATGTTCCTGCAGGGAGGGCTTGGCTTTGCAGCTTCAGCTGAACTGCTGGAGTCCTCTTACACTAATACTGTTGGAGATGGGTTTAGTCATTAGGATGCATTCTGAGCAAGGAGTTCTTCCCACATTTGGCCTTTAAGAAAATACAGGTGGCAGTGACACATGTGACACAGCAGCACTGTGAGTCCCACTAAGACTGAGGACGCCGGTGCCCTGTGTCTGGACTCATTCTCAGCTGCGTTTGAATGAGATGATTTGATTAACTTGTTTTGCGTCTGAGCAGAGACCCCAGTGTCAGCACGATGCCACACTCAGCTCTGGGGCTCCCAGCAGGTCCCATTCGAGGCAGATACTGGCCGGGGTTGTTTGAGCTGCTGTTTTGGTTTGTCTGTGACTTGCAGAAGACAAGGATGAGACCGTTGCCAGGACGTATCTCTCCGAGCTCAAGAATATCCGTCTGCGCCTGGAGGAGTGTGAGCAGAGGCTAGTGAGCCGAATCCAGTCCCCGAGCAGCGCCCGAGCAGATGGTGACACTATCCAGGAAAACACCATCCGTGTTGCGGAGCAGGAGGTCAGTCCTGCTGCTGTGAGATGTGGAGGGGAGGGAGGTGCTGGCTGCTGGTCTTTAGCATGTGCCAAAAATAGCTTTAGCTTCTCTGGGGTGAACATGTGGGTGGCGAGTGCTTGACTGCGTGGGGTTCAAGGGGATCTTGCTACACAGAAGATATCAGGAAACCTCACCAGGTGGGCTCCCTGCTTCATTTCATACTATCTCCTTTGCCAGGGGCAATCTTGCTTTTTCCTTGCCTGCTTGGGCTCTCCTTTCACCTTCTTTCCTCTCCTCCCATAGCGCATGCAGGAGGAGCTGCAGCGGCTGCAATCAGACCTGCGGTTTGTTTCTGAGAGATGCTACAGCTTCCTCAACAAGGCCCCCGCGGGGTCCAGCACACCCCAGTTGCGTTCTGAACTTGACTTGGTGGTGAACAAGATGGACCAGATGTGTGGGCTGTCTTCCATCTACCTGGACAAGTGAGTCAGGATGTGCCTCTGTTCCCAAATACCTTTTTGAATCTGCCCAATTCTGCTCAAGACCTTTCTTCTGCCTCTCTGACACACCTCGCACTGGGCTGTAACTGAGCTCCATCCCTCCGTGGCATATGGTGCAAACAGCCTTGTGATCAAGAGGATCTCTGCCAAATTTTGGATGTCATTGTGCTGCCTCTCTTTAATTTGCCAGGTTGAAGACGGTTGATGTTATTATTCGTAACACCCAAGGAGCAGAATCTCTGGTCAAAGGGTATGAGGTTAAGCTGAGCCAAGAGGAGGCAGTCCCCGCTGACCTGGCAGCTATTCAGTCTCACAGAACTGCGTTACAGGTGGGTGCTGTTCGCTTCCCAGGGTGGGCAGGCAGAAACCGGCCAATGCTTTGGTGTTTCTCAAGCAGGGTCTTTCCCTTTCTCTGCTGGATTTGTGCTGTATACCGTTTTTCTTGCCTCAATATAACAGTTAGGGAGGATTTTGTGCTGCTTAGGTGATCCCTTATTGCTTTGTAAAGGTAAAGGAGCTGCTGTGGCTTGTGCTCTCTCTCTTGTAGGGCACGTGCTGGCACTTGTGAGCAGCTTCACAGCTACATGTCCTGTTGCTGCAGGACAGGGGCTGAACTGCTCTCACTTGCTCCAAGCTGGGAGCATGGTCCCCTCCATTTTCCACCTCCTATAATCAGCCAGTTCTTCACAGGTTAAGGAGAGTGGGAAGATAAACCCCTTCTGAGGCTTGTCAGCTCCGGGCGGGAGGACATCTCTGACTTAATGTGCCTTTTGCTTTCCATGCCGTTGAACCGGTGCTGTCTCTTGCTGGTTTTGCAGCAATGGCTCGGGGAGGTGAAGGACAAGAGCTCCGTCTTCTCCACGTTGGAGGAGGAGATGGCAAAGGCGAAGGCGGTGGGAGAGCAGCTGTACCGGCTGAGACAAGAGCGCAGCATCGACCTCGAGCGCTATCAGGAGAAGGGAGGCCAGCTGTGGGATCGCTGGCAGCGCGTCTGCTCCCAGATTGAGACCCGGTGAGAAACCTCCGGCCTCCTTCCACAGATTTACTTTCATGTTTCAGCTCAGAGCTTGGGTCAGGCTTTTTAGCAGGGATATTTTTCCAGATGGGATTCCCGCTGGTGGCTGGGATATCCCTATCGCCTACGGTGGCATTTCACCACCCTCTTATTTGTCTTGGTTCTTCTCTCAGCCATGCAGAGCTGGAGAGCATCCAGGAGGTGCTGAGTGACTACCGGCAGTGCCACAGTGCCCTAATCCAGTGGATCGAGGAGATCACGGTCCAGCAAGAGCTGATGAAACCTGGGCAGGCAGAAGACAGCCGGGTGCTGTCAGAGCAGCTGAGCCAGCAAACGGTAAGACAGGACCTTGTGATGTCTTGATAGCGCGGTTGCTGCAGTGATCGTGTCACATCTTTTCTTTTACTAAAATCTTTTCATGTGTGAGCTTGAAAATATGAAACGCAGTGGGGAAGAGGCTGCAGGCCTGAGCTGAGTGTCTGGGAAATGGAGAAACTCTGCCTATCTTGTGGTGGAGATGAGGCCTTGCATAACAAATGGAAGAGGATGAAGACTTTACCCAAAATGGAAGAGATGGGGACTGAAATTCAGCTCACCACCCACAGCAGCTGTCCTGACAACCCTTTTTTTTTGCTTTGAATTTTAATGAAGGCTTTGGCTGCAGAAATTGAGAAAAATCAAGCCAAACTGGACCAGTGTCAGAAATTCTCCCAGCAATACTCTGCTGCTGTCAAGGTACGGGTCCCCTCCTGCCCCTAGAGGAGGCCGACTGGGCAGAAACGGCCTCAGCACGGTTTTGCATCTCCCGTGCTCCATGTCTCTCCACCCTGGCTGCGTTTGCAGGACTACGAGTTGCAGCTCATGACGTACAGGGCGTTTGTCGAGTCGCAGCAGAAGTCTCCCATGAAGCGCCGGCGCATGCTCTCGTCCTCGGACGCCATCACGCAGGAGGTAGGAGCACGGCCGCCCGGCCGATCTCGTGAGGGAGAAATTGTGCAGGGGGTTCTTCGACGCCGAGCAGCCTCTGTGAAATGAGCTCCTTTCTGCTGAACTCTCTTGTATAAATAAAGTTTCCACCCTCGCTGTTTTTTCCAATAGCCAGAGAGGATGGCTTAGTGCTCTAAGCACCAGGTATGAAATACCTAGACTCCTGGGAACCCCTGGGTCAAATCCAGCAGGGTCGTCTCAGCCCTTCAGCCTTGCGAGGTAAATAACCAGAGCACCATGCAGCATTACTGTGTGTGGATCTTTGGGATGAGACCTTTAGGGACCCAAGGTCCTGTCTGCTCTGTGTGGATATTAAAGATCCCGGTAGCCCTCTTGTAAGAGTTGAGCATCCGCCCCAATGTCCGTGACCGGAGTCTCCCCTTCGCTCCAGTGTTGTGCAGCATGCCGTGTGTGGCCACAACCCTCCCCATCAGACTTGCTGCATTTCATTGATGCTGTACTGGGTCTGCGAGGTGCCTGGGGGGCTCCCCAAATGAGAGGTGGTGCATCCGTGTCATGTACTGTAAAGTACGTTGCTCTGGATCCGCTGGTTGTGACCGATGCGCCCCATTTCCCCCTCTCTCCCTTTGCAGTTCATGGATTTGCGGACTCGCTATACAGCTCTGGTGACATTAACCACACAGCACGTCAAGTACATCAGCGATGCTCTCCGGCGGCTGGAGGAGGAGGAGGTAAGGGTGTGCGGAACTGAACTCTACTCGCAATGCGGAGGCTCATTTCCCAGCACCCCCAAGGATGCTGCTCTGTGGTGAGGTTACATCTCGGGCGCTGCTCCTGAGAGCCTCTCCGCCTGCGGAAATCTGGGACCCCTTTGACGTGATTATCTTCCTCCCTCCTCTGTTCACAGAAAGTAGTGGAGGAGGAGAAGCAGGAGCATGTGGACAAGGTGAAGGAACTCCTGGGCTGGGCCCTGGGCTTGAAGGAGAGCGTGCAAGGCAGGACGACAGCTGCTGGGAGCAGAGAGCTGGGCGACATTGAGAAATCCATCTCGGAGCAGCAGGTAAAGCAGGGGCAACTGTCAGACGGTTTGTTTAACTTCTGCTCTTTTTCCACATCGGAATTAAGCTTCTTTCTTTTTTCTTTTTCTTTTCCCCCCTCGACAGGCCCTGAACGAAGAGCTGGCTGCGAAGAAGGAGCAGGTCTCTGAGGCCATCAAAACTTCACAAATCTTCCTGGCAAAACACAGCCACAAGTGAGTGTGACCCAAGGAGGGGACAGGCAGGGAGAGCAGTGGGGGGAGATGAGAGATACCTTAGAGCTGGTGCTGGTGGGCTGGGGTCCCTGGGGTCCAGTGCCCGAATATCGTTAAAAGCAGTGATGAGCTGGACATGACAGTTGTCGTCTTTCTCATCTGCAACAAAAGCTATGAAATATGAACCCATTTCTGCTGTTGGGATGATATTGATCCCCTTTAGTAGTGATCCAGCCCTGTGTATTTGGGGATCTGATCGTTGCAATGCAGGTCAGCCTTTGCTGAGCACAGTTACCCTTGCTGGTTTTAGCTGAGCCAGGCAAAGAGTAGGGCGGTAGGAAGAGGGGGCTCGTGGTGGGTTTAGCCTTTTCCTTCACCAGAGGAACATGTTAATTCTGCAGAGCTGGGAGTTGGTTTGTGCAGTTTCCATAAGACATTTCCCCTTCCCCTTTGCAGGCTTTCCCATCCAGAGAAGGAACAGATTTCTGCTCAGATCGGTGCTCTCAAGCAGACCTACCAGGTGCTCTGCAATGACTCCACAGAGCAGCTCCAGCAGCTCCAGAGCCAGCTGGCTCAGGAGACAGAGCACAAGGTACTGGTTCCCAGCTCAGGCTTTGCAGCCAGAGGACACTCCTCAGGCTGCAAAAAAGGTTTTGCTTGGTTGCGTGTCTCATGGCCACCAGCCACTCGCAGCCCGTTGTCTTTCTTCCTTGCACATGGTTGCCCTCCCTTCTCTTCTGTCCATGTGTCACCCAAAGCATCCAGGCTGGGGTGGTCCATGGAGGCCAAGCAGGAGCCTTCCAGGTCAATGGCAGAGTTGTCTTTTGCAATGGTTTTCAACAGAGCTCTGCCCTGTGCACAAGGGTTGGCTTGTTCACGCTTGGTGGGCAAGGATGTAGATGGACCTCTGGCCTGGAAACGGTCCCCTTAGCAAATCTGTGTCCTCTGAGGAATGCCCTCTCAGTGCTTTAACTGCAGAGGGCTCCGTTTCACAGGCTGCCTGCATGCAGGAGACTCAAGAAGGTGGGTTCAGAAGGGCGTTCGCCTGTGCGGTCTTGTATATCTCAGGGTCTGGCCAGAGGTTTGTCTCAGCTGTGGCTGAATGAAGTTGCTCTCCCCACTGGAAGGCAGCTGCATCGTCCAGGCCTTCAGCTGACCTGGGAGACCTTCACGACCTGTAGCTGGACCCATTCCCTGTTCACCTCCACCAGCGCTCCCGTCAGTCCCCATCCTTGTTTTGCGGGGTAGGGAGGGCTGAAAGCGCATCCTTATTGCCTCTGTTATGCGCTGTCTTCGGTCACTCACAGATATACGTGTACGTGTTCTATAAGTGTATATACATGTGTCGATGGATATATTTGTGTGTTTGCTTGCTGGCTCCCTGTACTCTGAAGCAACGGCCCGCTCCGATCTGGATGCATGACGCAGGTTTTGGCTGTTGAGTCCGTGAGTGAAGCCCTGTTCGAGCCCCTCATGGGAAGAGGGTGACGGGGCTGCTTGTTTCAAATCTGCCTGTCCAGCTTTCACCTAAACACATAGTGTTTCTCCCTAAATTGGACTTTATAGCACACTTCAGGTGTCTCAATGCAGTAAACGCTTTCTATTGCAAGCCCTTTAGCCCTCGTACTGGCAGCAGAAAGCTTACAGTGGGCAAACTGACTCGTTAGTCGCTGCTAAGCCATCATGGCTTTGATGCGTCTGCTGCTGCTGCCAGGGGAGCAGCTGAGAGCAGCCTGGCTGTGGAAAGGTTGCTTTTTCCTTTCCTTTTTCCTCCCTCCTGGGCAGGAAAATTACTTCTGAGCAAAAGCCTTCTTCAGGGCTTGCTGGGCTGTTTCTGTGCAGCATGAACGTGCTTTGGGGCTCAGGCTAGAACAGTTTTCACTCACGCTCTCGATGAAGCCCAGGAAACAAAACGAGAGGTGGCAGTGGGACTTCACCGCCAGTCCCCGTCTGCGAGACAATCCCTGCGGCTCTTGTGTGGTGCAGTTGCTTCACTGTAGAGGGAGCATGAGGAACTCTTAACATTTGCTTGCTGGAAACATCCAACTGTCAGAGAGAAGTTATAAAAGACAAAAATGCAAAGCAGAACGCGCTAAATTGAGCATGATGTGTCCCTGTACAGTTTGTGTTTCATGTCAACTGTTTTTAAGATTAACTGACATCCTTGCTTACAAGTTTAACTAACCCTCCGGGATTTAAACAAACAAAACACACAAAGTGAAAGAGGACGACCTGTGTGTGGGGTTCTTTTTGCAAACAAAACAGTCGCATGCTGGACGCTAACACCAAGCTTTACACTGTGTGTGATACGGCTGAACTGCTCCATAAGGCTCTGTCTTTAACTGCTCAAGGCACACCCTGCAACCTGGGTAAGTAAAAGCCTTTTACCCCCCCCTCCCTCCCTCCCATCTCCTTTTTTTATCTTTCTCTTTTCCCCCCCCTCTCCTCTTCTCTGTCTTTCCACGGCTTGTTTATCTCCGAACGTGCATGCCAGAGTCTGGCGATGATGGTGGAGAGCTTAGGTTTTTCCGGCAGGTTCACCCTGTCTCCACAGCAGAAGGCAGTGGGGGGAGCTGCAGCCCAGCATGGTGGAGGCTGCACCCTCTGCTGTGCCGTAACCCAGCTGTGCTGCAGCTACAAACACCCCCAGCCACTTGTGCTGACAGACTCACTGATTAAAAAAAATAAATAATCAGAGGGTGATGGGGATGCAAAAGGAATTAATTCCATGATCCGATTCCCTCCTCCCATCCCCATAAAAATCTTTTGGTGCTTGCACCCATCTTATACCCAAGCAGCAGGACCGGGAGAAACCCAAACGTCCAAAGAGCTGTTGCTCTTTATCATCTTAATTATTGCCTTCCCTGCGGGGATACCAGCAAGAAGAGAAAAACCCCTCCAGAAACACCAGAGTAGATGGTCTGTTCCCAGTCTGTCACTGTTTCCACGCTGGGACCTCCAGCTTCTTACACTTCTCCCCTTGCCCCGTCTGAAGAGCATGGCTACTTTGAGGTGCTGGAGCCGGGCAGAGCGGGTGCCGGTGTCGTGCTCAGGGAGCTGCCCTGCATGCCATGCTCCTGCACTAATGCATGGCCAGTCTGTGTGGCTGGGGATCTGCTCCGTGGCATGGGGGTCTGTGGTGTTCCCCGGCCGTCCTGGCACTTGAGATCTGCTTGGGGAATTGCAGGATTTAAAGCATGGCAGGAGTCAGCGTGGAAGCTGCACTGGGAGAGGTTCCTAGATACCCTGAAGTGGACATTTTTGGGTTTTTTCCTCCTCTATGAGTGCGCAGGGGGATTTGTGTTGTCTTTACTTTTTAAAACTGGAGTTGTTGAGCGGCTTTGGTGTGCTTGTTGGTCTCCTTCCCTCTGTTTCTCCGTGGAGCATTAGGAGCACTTCTGGGTTTTGCTGCTTGCCGCTTTGCTGCGTTACTGTTGGTGGATGTTGGAAGCATCTCAGTGCTGCCCTGGGTGATGGACTAGATGAGCATTAAAACTTGCTGGCAGTGTGCAAGCTAGCAAATGCACCAATTTGCGTGCTGTGGTGCCTTTGGAGTTGCATTTCAAACACTTTGGGACTCCTTTCTAGCCTGTTTAGGGGTTTTAAACTTTTTTTTGGAAACCTGAGACCTCCCTGGAATTCACGCAATCTGAGTGCTGGAAATGCTTGATTTTGATTTAATTCTTTTCTTTCTCTTTCTGTTCTAGGGCAGCGAAGCAGTGGCAGGAGTGATCGATCTTGGCACGGTAGAAATATTCCCTGTCTTTGGTGCCATGCAGAGAGGTCTTATAGATCAGGACACTGGCCTTGTCCTCTTGGAGGCCCAGGTTATCACATCTGACTTAGTTGTTCCAGAAACCAATGAGAAGCTCTCCTTGGAGAAAGGTCTGGCAAGAAACATCATTGATCTCAGGACGTTCCAGGTGCTGCGGGAACTGAAGGATGCTCTCCACCAGGTGGAAGAAGTCGGATGTGAAGGGAGGCAGCTCCTACCTGTCGTTGCTGCGATAGAAGAGGGGAGGATCAGTGAGAGCATTGGGCTAAAGATTCTTGAAGCTGAGCTCGTCACTGGGGGCTTTAAAGTCCATCAGGGCAGAATCAGCATGGAGGCAGCAGTGCAAGAAAGGCTCCTTACCCCTCAGCTTTATTCCAGACTTCTGTCTCACCTGGAGGGTAGAAAGGATTTGATTGACCCCAACACCGCTGAGAAAATCAGTCTGCCCGAGCTCATGCACCGATGCATCATCCACCAAGAGACCGGGCTGAGGCTGCTCCCAGTCAAGCAGCTGGCAGGTGGGATGGTGAGCTTGAAATCGGGCAGAAAAGTCAGCATCTTCCGTGCAGTCCAGGAAGGGCTGATAGACAGGCAGGTAACGGTCAGGTTGCTGGAAGCCCACCTCTTCGCTGGTGGCATTGTTGACCCCAGGACAGGGCACAGGCTGACTGTGGACGAGGCCGTGAGACATAATCTAATTGACCAGGATTTGGCATGCACACTTCTTATCCGGCAACTTCAGACAGGTGGCATCATCGATACTATCACGGGAGAGAGACTGACAATTGATGAAGCTGTGAGGAAAGAGCTGGTAGCACCAAGAATTGCATTGGTGGTCCTGGAGTCCCTGTGGTCCTTCATGGGGCTCCTGTGGCCAGAGACAGGGGAGATTGTCCCAGTTGCAGATGCTTTAGAGCAAGGAATCCTGTCTACCGAGCTGGTTTACAAGATTCTCAGCAAGAGGCAGCTCATTAAGGCTGTCTTTATACCAGAAACCACTGAGGTGTTGTCCTGGAAGAAAGCAGTTGAACATGGCATCTTGGAGAGAGATGTGGCGAAGAAGCTGAAATCAACAGTCATACCTGATGTCATGGCCAGCGTGCAGCTCGCTGGCTCTCCAAGCAGAAGCAGGCATGGCCAGAGCTCTTCTGGAAGGAGTCCCACAGGTCACAAAGAGCAAAGTGACCCTTTGCTAAGGAGTGACGATGAAAGGCTGATGTTCCACTTGATGACCCACAGCTACATCAACATCCATGATGGCCAGAAGCTGCTCTTAGTGGATGGAGAGTTGAACAATCTCACTAAAGCCCTCATCCAAACCCAAGAAAATGGATCCTGCGCGCACATGTTGGAAAGCAGTGAAGGCTTTGAGGAGACAAGGGCAAATGCCGCTCTTGGAAGCGAGCCTTGCAATGGTTTGGCTTTGCAGCAGCTTGAGTTTCAATTTGCTCCCTCAAAAGAACAAAGCCAGAAGGTCCTACCACCCAGAACTGCTTTGGAGAATGGGGAGGTGGTGATGGGACCTGAAGGCATCCTGTTAGATGATGCAGAAGATATGCTGCTTGTGGAAGAGCAAAAGCAGTTTTATACCAAACAGGCTACCATCAAGAAAGAAACTGATGCTGAATTTGGAAGAGAGCAAGTAACTTCTACAGAAAAGAACAAACATCAGGTAAAATTACCGATAACAGGGCATCCTGGTGACCTTGGTGGTGGATTCAGAGAAACAGAGGAAATGATGACTGAGGCAGAAGAAGAGTCCAAGCCTACTGCAGCAGATGAAGTGGAAAGTGTCGAAGATCAGAAGAGAGCATCGG